TTGCATGCTTTCAATCTATTTGGGCGACCGCCTTCGTCATTGAGCAGATATTAATCTTGCGTAGCTGCTGATTGCACATTTTGAGAAATACGACTGCAACCTTGAAAAATCGGCAATGGAGCGCGCAAAAGCTTGTCCTACTGACCAATATGTCAATGTAGATATACAAGAGAATAAGAATAAAATAGCCAAATCTGCTGTAGCAGACCAGGTCGAGGCCATGTCAGAGGTTTGTCATAGGCCACTAAATGTCGATTTTAATTAGAACCAGAGGCTTGCAGAGTGTGAAAACATGGTGGAAAGTGATCAGAAGCGATACCAACATCATAGGTCTCCAAGTTTGGTGGAGAGCGAAATTCGAGTCCAGCACACTTCCGTCTTTCTCTAGGGTAAGTACGTTTTGAGTTTAAAGAAAAAATTGGAAATTACTCACAGATGGCCTGGGCTTCGTCTAATAAAATGGGCTGCGCTGTAGAATCATGCGGTAACGACTGGCAAGTTGTGTGCCACTACGCCCCAGGGTAAGAACTTCAAGCCTTTCACCTCTTCTTCTTGATCACAACTATTTAGGGGAAACAAGGCTGAAGAAAAAATCTACGTGCCGGGCACAGCCGCCACTCAGTGTCCTACAGGAACATCCCCCGACAAGACTATGGGACTTTGCGTCTAAAATTATTTTCGTATTGGGAATTCAATTGTCTTTCCTTTTCATAAAAAGTCTTGTCTCGCGACGTATTTAGAATAAAGTTTTGCAATCGCCGAATAATCAGTTCATATAAGCTGAGATCATACACACTTGCTGTTTACTCTATAGCAAAGAGCATCTTGCATTAGTTCTGTTGAAATAACCAGATCCTGGATGTCGGAAACACTAACGTTTACAGGAACATTTCCCCTTGTTTACAATTAGTCTATCAAATCGAGTTCATGTTTCTTCATCAAACATGGCATGCAGATGTGACAAGAGTAAGGCATCCAACTTTAAAGCACATTTACAAGTTGCCCACATTCTTCAAAGGCTCCTTATACTAGCGATGTGCAAAAAAGCACGATTTACAGTGTTGTGATCTAGAAGAACAAAAAA